AGAGAGAGAGAGAGAGAGAGAGAGAGAGATCGGGACGGGCGACTTCTATCAGTCAGTGGCTTCCATCGCTCATCGACACCCTCCTTCAAGTACACACAGAGGTGATGGTACTGTTAGTTGGTCGCGAAGCGTTTCTTTAGCGTGCCTTCATATTATTAAACTTCGTTGCAAAGAAAGGTCAAAACATATTTCGTTTATTAAGTTGCGGAAACAGACAACAACAGCCGAAAGAGCCTGGCCGGACCAATCCCCACCAGTTCTATTGTCTCTAAGAGACGGGCAGACAACAAGACGATTGCAAAAGGCACAGCAGCAGGCCAGGATTGCAGACAGCTTTGCCAGATAACTTTTACAAGTCCGCGGGCCTCCTCCTCTGCACACCGCCTCCCAAACCACCGTCAGCGACACGATTCCGTTTATACCGGTGGAACGCAGAGGGGTTCAGTGACTCGTCGAGAGGCGGTCGGATTATCGAAAGTGTTACGCCGGGTTTGGTAAACAGGCGCAGTGGCGCTGAGTTGTTTACCTGCAACGGGCCCCGGTCAGTACGGAGGCAAACAGAAGGGCGCGCGCGACCCTTCAAAGGCATCGCTCAAACCAACCGCGTGGCGAGGGGGAGGAGAACCGTTTACGGGTCGTACCGATACCACGTAAATTTTAAGGGGGGGGGGAATCCAAATATCATGGGGTCCCAAAAAGATCAGGAACATCATTGTCAAATTTTTACCTCGGGGTAAAATAATATGGGGTCTCTACGGACTCCAATGATGTTTCTGATCCTTTTCGGACCCAATAATATTTGGACCTCCCCCCCCCCCCCTAGTCACGTGGTATGGGTACGACCTCTTACTGGACTGTTGCATATGGCTAGGGCATGGGTGTGCGAATAAAGAGTGGGTCAGGCTGTGCAAAATTAAACGGGGCTTCACTGCGTTGCATATCATCAGTTTGGAAAACCACGTGGTTTGATATACCCCCAACACCGGGGTTAGACGAGGTTAACAAGGCAAGGGCGAGCCCCCCCGTTTTTGTGCTGAGTCACAGAGGTTTTTAACCTGGCCGTGTGATAACCTCGGAGACATGCGACAAATGGGGCGGCCTCTGCTGCGACGCAGGGGGATTCCAACAAAAATGAGAAAAACGCACCGCCAGGGGGAGGAGAAGAGTGGACGACGGAGAAGAGGAGATGGGAGGGGATCGGACCGGGGCTGGGAGAAAGGGGCGGGACCAGAGGCGGTCGGGCAGAGCCAAGGCAGAGCGGCCAAACACAAAGGCGAGGGTGTTGGCTTTGGCCGCGCGACGACTCACGAGCCGCGAATTATGGCCAATAAACCGGTAAAAAGAAATGCTGCCGCTGGTTGTCTCCGCGCGATAAAAGGCTGAATGTGCGTGCGCCGAGATGTGCGCACATGCACGATACATTTAGCGCCCCATACGACGAGTCTGTGTTGGCTACTCACTCGTGTCCTCATCCTTGGTGTAGTCGAGGGCGTTGCCGTGGTCGGAGCCAGGAGAGCGCAGTCCTAGGTAGCCCATTCCAGGATCCATGTCTGAAAAACCAAAAAGGTGTGAATTACTGAGACCAAATTATCGTCACATCCATTTCAGACAAGAGCCTGAATTAAAAAGGGTAGCTCCTCATTGCACTTTAAAATTTCCGTGAGGACTAAAGCTACAAATTATTTTAACTTGTTTCTTCAACGTGCTTGGGCCTGTCTGCCTGGTTTCTTGCTTTCTTCGCCCCACGTCCACTTCGGTATGTTGGGCGATAACAACATATTGCATCCCCTCTCCCTCATTCGTCAACACACGGGGGGGGGGGGCAGAGAGAGAGAGAGAGAGAGAGGTCCCACAGGCTGCTGGGAGGCACTGGAGTGGCATGTCCCACTGACCACTCTTGGACATGTTGCCCAGCAAGCCTTCTGTTTGCGAAAAGGAGAAGATGGGATGGAAAGAGTGGTAAGGGAGTGAGGGGGACAGGTCGATAAGAACTACTGCAAAGTGCTTTTAATAGCAATACCATGCAGGAGTACTTGCTCAAATTACCATATGGGAAGTTGCCTTAATTTATACATAGCTAGAGCTTCCTGTCGAGTGCCTTTGGACACAACCGCCAGTCGAAATGCGAGGAGGGAGAGAATTTATTCCGTGGACAACACTGGGTGAAAGCCAAGGGGGCCGATAAAGGTGTACACCGTTAAAGCTTCACCCTATCGACCGCTCATCAAGTGGACAAGAGAATATTGGAGGTCGAATGTCGAGCGAAACTGCTGCGAGGAGCTCATTTATTGCACAAAGTTAAGGCAGTATCGCACGGTTGACTGACATCCCTCTATGAATGTCAAGAGATAATCGAAAAGTCACGTTGATTACCAGTATGTGAAAACGGGGGGACATGGCAGAGGCAGAGAATGGCCACCATGAGAAAATGTAAGAACGGTCGCCGCCATGTGACCCACACTGCCCTGGCCACCCCCTCCACTTGGGTTTCGGAAACAAGTCTACCCGCGC